GGTAGCAATGCAATGGTGCCAGTATTTTAAGCCTCACCCTGTTACTCTACATAGACATTTATCCGGTATTAGTCGCCGGTTTCAGGGTCAGTGTCGGTGTCGGTGTCGATAACAAGTGGGGGGTGGAAGCGTACATCCGTTCCATCTATCGGCAACTGGTTTGTTGCCCTGTTCGTTCGTCTTTCTCTCTCTGTCTCTCTGTCTCGGCCTCGCCTCTCCGCTTTTCTCCTCCTTTCGCCCAATTCTGTCTCTTCTCGTTTCTCGGACGGGACTGCTGACTACGACGGATGTGGCATTTCGTACCGCCCACTTTTCCTCCATCATCAACCACCTGTCAGTCACTTACTCACTCAGTCCCCCGTATCCTCCTATACGGATGCATCCACCATTCCACCTCGCCTCGTCACTCCCGTCTTGCGTCTTGCCCACCATGGAGCTTCGGAACTCCTTGTCTCCTTGTCTGCCATATCGGTTCCCATGATCACCATGGCTCCCATTCCCCCATTTCTGGATCCTGTCTCGGCCGTGCCCTTGTCTCTTGTAACCCCTCTTCAATTCACGCTCGTCTGTAGCAACTCCCCTTTTGCCTCAAACCTCACCACCAACTGACCACCCCAGTGGATATTTGCCATCTGACCCTGGTTCCTGCATCAATACCAAATTCCTTGAGTGAAGCTAGAGTTGTGCTTCAAGAGTCTTTTTCTTCCTTTGGGATCAACCGCCGTGGGGTCGGCTGACTACAAGTCTCTAGGATCTGTCCTCGGTCGTTATCCACTTACCATTCATCACAGAGGCATTTCCAGCTTCTTCTGTCGACGTATCATTCCTTCTCTCCGCCCTCTGGACCTGCTTTTTGTCCCTCGAGGCCAACTCGATGAATGCCATCCACCGCCATTCCCGGGCTAACCCCGTCACCAGTCACCCGGTCCTCTTGACCGCGGCCAACTTGCTTGTCACCACCGTCACCCACGTTTGTACCGTCAATTCGTCTTCCCCCCGGTTCCAGCCCAACTCAGGGCATTCAATCAACCGTCTTCCGAGAGGCTTTCAGCTGAACTGAGCCCCTTCTCGTGTTTAGTTCCTCAATCCAGTCACTCAGCGCTCCGGTTTCACCCAACGGATCCCTTCCGCGCCGCTTCACTACTGGCTGTCACTGGCTTCCCCCGTTATTTTAGGCTTTTGGCGGCGGGTCCCAGACTTTCGATTTCTCACCACATGCCCCAAGGACTCCCTTGCCCAGCGAGCCCAGGACCGCGGGACCTGACAGTTGTTTCCTCTTCCCCCCTCAAAGTAGTGAGCCTCCTCGATCGACGTCGCCAGTGGCCTTTGCTGTTTCAAGCTTTAGTGGTGATCTAGCTCAACCTCCAGCCAGCTTCCACCCGTCCAGACCAGCCGCGCCGCTTACGGTTACACGCACATTTGGGGTGCGCGTGGACAGGGACGAGAAAAAGAAACACAAAGGCCAAAAAAACTCCTTTTCCCGGTTGTGACTTCATCTATTCTTACACACCGATCTTTGCGCTCCTTCCCGCCACGAGACACCCGGGTTGGTGGGCATCTCCAGCCCTTGCCGCCGGCCAATTTCCCCTTCACCTTACCTTCCGCTTCCCTTTCCTCCTCTTCAAGCCCTCGGTCGCTTAGTCCTCATTATATTCGACTTGGCTGGGACAAAAGGACATGGTTTGGCCAATCCACGAGTTGATTGTCCGGCTTCGTCGAGCTGCCACCGCCGGAGACGTCCCTTGATAACCGCTTGTCATGACGGCCGTTCTACCCCAAGGACTAATTAATGCGAATCCCAATGTCCAACAGTATGCTTTGGACGATTTCCACGTCGACTTCACCAATGCAGAAGTGCTCAGCAAGTTTTGGAAAGGTCTTTTTGCTCTTGGGACCCAAATACTACGGACCAGCGGCTGATGTTTCGTTAGTTTATGCCATTCAGAGCGAGGCGACGCAAGACAATACCTCTGCGAGGTTGCGGAATCTGTTCTGGAGAGTATGGAGTAGCCCGACCCTTACCAAGTCCATGACATCTGCACGACTGATGCGCTTGTGGTCTCTGTGTACTCAAGACGTGGACTTGACCCCAATTGAAGATGGTACCAACACCAGGCGGGTCCCCGAACTTATCACACAGGTACATGTTATCTTAACATCCCACGGAAACATCCTTGCTGACAGAAATGTTGAGGGTTTATCTGCGTCAAGCCAGTCCCCAAACACAACCTCTCCCTTGTCTCCTACCTCTGACATCCGTCAGACAACAGGTGCCACTCCACGTACCAGGCCAAATGTTGCACCCACGCTGCAAGATTTTAGATTTCCTTCCGTGGCGGCCAATACAGGTGATGAGGAACGCCAGCCTTCCAGTGGACAGCCCAACGGACGTGGCCGAATGCAGTCTGAAGATGCTTCAGGATCTGGGTCTCACGCCACATCCGAATCGTCTACCCGACCGACCTTGAGCAGAACCACTAGCGGTGGACGACAAAGGCCGCCTGTTCTAGCCACTGCTGGAAAGTCGAGGGCGAGGCCTCAAATCCCCCGCAGAAAATCCAGTTCGCAAAAATCCCCAGGAGGCCCAAGCGGACCGAAATCTCCAAGGGCAAAGTCAGGCGCTGCCACAGTCGACGTCACAATTCAGGACACCAGCGGAGGTGCCGGTGCCCTCACTAACAGAGGACTGCCTCCTGGTTTGCCAATCGTCCCTTGTACGTACATCTCGCATTTGATGGGCTAGCAGGCTGACATATTGGATGCCAGCAACTACCAGCGGACCGGCTTTCGTTCTTCCATCTGCGTCTTCATGGCAGAGCATAGATTCGGCTACTGAACCCCCTTTAGCGAACACTGCCCCGCCTCTGCCCACGTCTTCGGGTGAACTGGTCGAGCCGGATTTCCGAGGCAAATTTGTGGAAACCCAGAAGAAGCTGGTGAGCTCGACAAACCTTGCCGGCCTTAACCGAATCAAAAAGACAGGTAGTGTTGTCAGGTTCGCGGATGAGTTGCCCCAGGAACTGCGCAAGGGAAAGGAAAGGGAGAAGGAAGCGACAATCCCAACCCGAGACGAAGCGCCTGGATCCTCACGACTGCGGAGGAGCATATCCAGTGAAGCAGTTTCGGATGATGCCGACGACGATGACTCGTCTTTGGAAAACATGCAACTCCCACGAACCAAGAGCCAGCTCAGCCTTCTGATTCAGACCAAAAGAGATGAAATAGGGAGCTCGGATATTGGACCCGCCGGAGAACAGGAGAACAACAAGGGGAAAGAGCAGGCAAAAGAGAAAGCCCAGTCCAGAGAAGAAGATCTCCTATCAATGGGTCGACGAGACGGCGTGACAAAGGCTGGCGGCGTCCAGGGACGCAAGCAGCATCGGATCAGCGAAATTGAAGACCCTGGATACTTCTCACCGTCAAGCCCTGAGCCTCTGTTCTGAACCAACCTTTTACTTGAACCCATCACGAATCTGCTTTCCTTTTTGAAGCAGGAATAAGCCCATTTTGTACCACGACATGACGTTACGACGAGACGACCGAACAAAATATGTATCAACAGTACGACGTTCTGAGCAGCAAGCATATTTATTTTTCTTGGGGAAAGCCTATATGCGCGGCATTCACTTTTGGAGCCTGGGAGTCGCTGGCCAGGTTTCTTCAATAGATTGGGCATGGTGTGGACGAAACAGTGGCTCAAATCAGAAGCACCAGAGCATTTGGAATTATACCGGCACCAAGTTGCCCGATAAACAATGAAATCATTATTTGGCCTTTGCAGGTTTTGGTCCAATTCAACTCAATGAGAAGTCGCAGAGAATGTGCCCAACGACGATCAGCGCTATTGCGATAATCAATTCTGGCATGTAGAACTAACTGCCTTACCGGGTGTCATTCGCCAGAGGTAGATTTCCTCTGTTTTTGCCTGGCCGCTTACATTTGAGGCCGTTCAACATGATGAGCCGGGAATCAATTCTCCTTTCGTGGTAATTACCCAAAGGATGAGCTCAGACAAAAAAGCATACTTTGGCTCCTGGATGTCTCGTATTCTCCCCAAGATCGAATTTCGGCCATAAGTGGCTAATTGCGAAAGACGCGTTCAAGGCGGGGCTCAAGTGACGCGTTGGTTGGCTGCACTTGTACCGGCTTTTTCACGGCCGAGGCACGTGATCACCAGGGTTGGAGGAGCTCGGCTCATCGCAAACTGTGAGAAGTCTGGATCTGGCCGCACTCCAATCCAATCCAATCCCACGCGCGTAGAAACATCCTCTGCCATCGAGAACGCAACAAGGCACATACTTCGAGAATAGTTTCTCGTACTTGGATCTCGTATCTTATACTCAATCTGTCCCTTCCAGATCGCTCATTCAACTATCATGCAGGGCTCAACGTTGGAGAAGCTGGTACCGTCGGGCTTTGGATTGCTGGCGGTCAATTGGAGAAGCCACTCTTTGGAGGGGAAGACCAAAAGACCAAAAGACCATTATTGGATGCGCATTGCCCTGCACGGCCCGCTTTCCCCCCTCTGTTACCAGCCACTCAGATGGCTTTGCCACTTGAAGGAGGCCCCGTTGGTCGGCCATTCGGTGCAAGCGAGGAAACCGCAGGGTGTTGCAAGTGCGCCAGTGTGTGCAGTCACCGCCGCAGTCAGTTCTCGCCAGCACCAAAGCGAAGAGGGTCACAGTAAACTGCTCGTTCAACTTCCCACAGAGCTCAACAATCTTCTTTCTCCCCTTCCCAGATTTCTACAACATCCACCAATCCCTCCAACGATGTGAAAATGCTGGTACTCTGCTGAAACTTCCTCTTGCCATCGCAGCACCCGCCTCTCCTCGGCGAGAAAACACGACGGAATTTGTAACCACCCACCCACGGCGCGAACTCTGCTTTTCCACAACCATTCCTCTTCCTGCAGCCGTACGACATCTCCCACATCCTCTGACCTGCGACAACACTGACACTCGTCTCTAGAAAGGTAGCCACGGCAAGAAACCCCTAAAATGAGCCCTCGTCGGTCATCCCGTGCTCGCTCATCGCAGCAACCCCCTCCTGGTCCCAACCACACAAACTCCACCACCTCGATCAACTCCAAATCCGATCGAGATACTCGTGCCAACATCCGTACAACCTCTCCTCACAGACCCTCCACCCAACGATCCGAATCTGCTGATGGCGCAGACTCGTCCTCTCGAGCCGAGCAGCTCGCACCGCGTCGCAGTCGCCGAAATGGAGATGACAAAGAACAAATAGTAAAACAACAGACCGATGATGAGGAAAATGACGCTGAACCCACAGATGAGGAAGTCACTCGCTGTATCTGTGGGCTAGTTGAGTATCCTGGTCCTTCCCCTACAGTGCGACAACAGCAACCAGCCATCGACGGCATAACCGACGACACGGGTAATTTTTTCGTCCAGTGTGACAACTGCGGTGTCTGGCAACACGGTGGCTGCATGGGTCTATTGGACGAGTCGATGCTCCCAGATGAATACTACTGCGAGCTGTGCAAACCAGAATTTCACAAGATCACAAAGGCTGCAAATGGGTAAGCTTGTCCCTATCAATCCCGTACTCTGCATCTATCTATACACAACTGCCTTCGTGAACACTCTTGTCCAGTTTAGTGGTGAATATGTGTTATCACCTTTTGTGCCCATCTTTGTGCAGAACAAGACTGACAGATTGCCTTCAAACAGACCAAAATCTTCACGTTACCTCCCTGTTTTGGAGACAAATTCCAGTCGATCCTCTCCTTTATCCTCAAATCCAGAATTGGGCCGCAAGAAAGAGAACAAGAACAAACAGTCCGAAAGCACCAAGAGGAGAGCCACCTTCAACAGTAGGGGGGCTTACGACGAGGATGAGATGTTGAGGAGGGCCATCGAGGAGAGCAAAGAGATGGGCACTCTCGGGAAACGCACAAGAGACGAATCAGAAGAGTAAGGCTCGTTTGATATCAAATATTTACCAGTGCTGACTTGGGGGTAGACAAAAAGGTACATCCAAGCGACAACGCACGGGATCCAACTCCTCAGGAACGGTTTCCAAGCGCAGTGAGTCGCCCGATGGAGCAGTGGATGATCCAACAAACAGATCAGCAACCAACGGTCGAAATGCGTCCCAAAAATTGAGGGGAGCAGCTGCTCGAAACAACCGTGAAAAGGAACTTCGAGACAAAGCAAAGGAACAGCAAGCTGCCCAGCGTGCTGAGGCGGCAAGCAAACGCAATGCTCGGTCCGAACGAAGAAGGGCAGATGGTGAGTTATATATGCTGCCTAAAATCAAAGATACTAACAAACGGAGCAGACTCACCTCCTCCTACACCGAGCCTCTCTCCTTCCAAAGGTGGACAATCCAACGGCAGAACAAAAGCAGATTCCCCCCCATCTGGTCGGTCGAACCATACCAATAGCCGTAAATCTGGCGGAAGAGCAGCTGCACGGCGAGGGAGATTGGGCAGAAATCAATATACGCGTGACCAGAACGGAGAAGACGGGGACAATGCATCTCTGCGGGATGGATCCCATGACATCAATGGCCATGACAACAAAAATGGGGGTTCGCCGTCCGGCGTCGACAGAAAAGGGAGTGCAGGTGGAGTCGGCGCTGTTCACTGCATCAATGGCGAAAGCGGACGCAGTTCAAAGGCCAAGACACACCCGGCGAGAACGAGTCTCAACGAGATGAAGAGACGAGTAGCAGCAATCCTGGAATTTGTTGGGCGGATGCAGACAGAGCGAACAACGCAGGCACAAGCAGCGATGCAGGTGAGCGGTGGCAGTGGCGGGAGCTCCAAGGGCTCCACGACTCCGAACGGCGTAAGCAAAACGTCCAGCACTTCGAGCACGACAGGGAGCACGTTGCCAACGGCCAGTCTGGTGCGTGCGGTTGAGGCTGGGCTGAATGACGTAAAGGAGAAAGACGACGACAACACGGTATCGATGATGGACGAGAAGGAGTTTGCGACCATGGGCAGTGTGGACATGATGGAGACGTTGACGAGAGAGTTGGTCCAGTGGCAGAGTGTTTATGGGGTATATTCGCGATGACCACGGGAACGGTGCTCAGGTGGATCATGAAACAGGAAAAGATGGATGATGTGCTGGGATAAGTCGGAGGCGTCTCCGAGCATGACGACGATAATGAATGGGTTCTTGTTTCAGGTTACCGGCTCGCGCAATTGAGGGACTTTTGCATGGTAGGGTATGGCACATCCAAAATGAGGTTTGGTTATAAGGGAAAAGTGCATTCCTCGGGAGTTTAATTGCGCTGGATTCCCATATATCATCTGACGCATGATGCATTGATGGTTTTGAATGTTGAGGGAGGGAGTATTTTGTTTTTGACACAAAATTATTCACCGAGCAAAATGAGAGCGTAGCCTGCCTGAGTGAGACATTGCAATTTTATAGAGATACGACTTGGGAAAAGAATTGGCATGATCAAGGCAGGGTTGTGCATTGGTTACCACAGATGGAAGCAAGATACCCCAAAGAAAAAAATAATATCGCTGAAATGACGTCGTTCTTTACTACCTGCTTAGCGAACAAGTAGCAGACGAATGAGGAGTGAGTATTATCCGTCACCCAAATCATTTCATCCCACTTTTCTTTTGCTCCGTGTCTTGGCATATTTTGCTCCAGGTATCACGTGCGGCAGTCAGGGACCAGTATTTTTCGCCCAAAAAGTTGATTATTCAGCATATTCGACAGTGTCGTGAGTGATTGGCCACTTGGGCAGAACCCTTGGGGGTGGGCCGCCTGGAGACGAGATTTGGCTTACTCGAGGTCCCGAGGTCTCAACCTCACTGGTGGTACCGGTCCTTTGGGAGTGGCTTATTCCACCCTCCGTTAACTTTTGAGTTGTTCGGCCGAATCTTTACTCGTGAAAAAGTAAGCCATTCAGTCAGTCCTTGTACCGAGTACTGAAGTGAGTAATTACTGAGTGCCTATACACCTCTGAGTTGCAGAGTACCTCAGCTGCATCTTGTAATTTGTAGACATTCTCCCGTGTCTCAGGTATTCAGTGTCTGTACTCTCTACTCTGTGCTCTGTAACTCTACTCTGTATGTATACCTACCAACCTACCCATCTAGGCACTTGTTAGTACGCAGTCATCCGTACTCTGGGTACCAAGTACAGACTATCGGGGTATCTACCGCTAGAGGTTTATACTTTTTTTCTTTGCTTGATACGCCACCGTCCGTATCCATCGATCCATCTTACCCATTCACTACCCTGCATTGTCTGCCCGTCTGCCTGTCTGCCTGTCCGGCTGCTCGCCTTACCTCGACTTTACCTATTTTCACCATTTGATCCATTTGATCCATTTACTCATTTCCTCTCCCCTACCCATTTATACATAGACACTTTCTTTCTCTCTCTCTCTCTCTCTTCCCCATTCCCGCCGTAAAGGAACTTGGAGATCCGGAGAGCAAGCAAGAAAGACCAGAACGAAAAGAAAAAGGGCAAAGCCGACTATAAGTACTATACTGTACAAAGTACGAGTTAACTGTTGGCTCACTCTACTATACTCTTCTCGTCACGACATCAGCCATCAGCCATCAGCCATCCCAACAGTGATCAGCCAACATTCTCTCCTCGAACCGTCATCCACCACTCGTCGCCCGTCAATCCAATCCCGATCCTCGCCTGCCAAATTTCTAGTCCCGCCGCGAAGCATTGACGTGCCAGACCTTCCAACCTTGACTTGATCGGGTCTGGTCTAGTCATCGACGCCGTTCCGCGCGGAGGCGAGACCAGAGAGAAAGCCCGGCGGCATTTCTGGGCTACGGGATAGTATCATCAGACCAACGGGAGAAGAGAGCCGCTTACAATCGACCGTTGCCATTCGCCATGGCCACGGCCGTGGGCGACAAGACCCGGCAAGCGGCATCGGGCCCCCGAAAACCATATGTTCGACGAGTCACCGACAAGCGGAGGGAGCAGAATCGGCGCGCCCAAAAGGCCTACCGGGAGAGACTGAAGAAGAAACTCGAGGTGCTGGAGGAAAAGGCTGCTGGGTCTATTTCGACTTCTGCTCCCACTTCGACTTCCGGTCTATCACACTCGGACCGACGCCGCGAAACACCACTAACGTCTAGTCATGAGCGGACCTCAAACTCAGGTAGAGTATCTAGCATTGAGGATGCCGAGGGCGACGACTATGGCAATATCAATATCGATGCCAGCCCCGAATTTCCCATCGATATAACAGACACGACCACGAGTGCCCCCATAGTCTCTTCAGGGCCGCGTGTGATAAATCTGGCAGATGCTTTCGTCGCTGCTGGTGATCTACCCTTCGCACAGAGCGCATTTCCTACCATCGAGTTGCAAGTAGGTCCGGACACACCAACGACAGTAACCGACAGCCACGAGACTGTCGATCATACACACGACGACTACGGTGACATTGATCTGCGGCAGATCTGGTCCGTGCCGCACAGACGAGAACAACCACAACAGCAACAACCACAAACACATCCTCCTGATCCCTCGCTCGGATCCACGGCTCTAATGACCTTGACGCCGCAACGATCCCCCCTCGGCTCACGCTTCTTCACACCAAAGCCCACCGTGGCAGATCCGTACATCAACCACATGCACCTGGTCGGTGAAGGAAACCTGGAGGCATCACTTTCTGTGGCCATTTCAATCGGCATCAGCCGCAGCCAATACTTGAATGACCACCCGTCACATTTCCCGGCCTGCTACGTCGCCCTTAACAAACCTGATGCGCGCTCCCCAACAAGGTCAACCTCTCCAAAGACGGTGAGCTACAAAATCGCACACACCTTCATGGACATCACGCCAGAGCTGGAAGAGCATCTCGAGGCTGTGAAGCCGGCCATGCGTCCAACACCTGCACAACTCCTCAATCCACATCCAAGTTACCTCGATTGCATTGTATTCCCTTATTTCCGGGACCATGCAGTCAAAGCATCTGTCGAAGGCATCCTCGACCACGGAGAGTTGTTCATGGACATGGTGCATGGTGGTCTGGTATGCTGGGGTGGCATGTCTGGACTCACAAACAGGCACGGAAAGTCGATCAGGAGTGGGAAAAGAGACATGAGAGGCAACGTGGCCTGGGACACGAGAAGTTGGGAGGCCAAGCGATGGTTCTTGAAAAAATGGACTTGGTTGATTGGCACAGAAGACGAGGAGGAAGCACGAGGAGATGTTCATGGCATTTGGAGAGGAAGCCGGTGGTGGTGGGCCATGCGCGGCGAAGACGATAGTGATGAAGAAACCGAGGAAGCGGATTTCGAAGGTGCCCGAGTGAGCGAAATTGGCCATTGCATGTGAGGCCGTTAGCCTCCTGGCAAAACTACAACACAGGAGGAAGGTTGCTGTTGCTGCACGCGTACCTGATCCTCGTATCTATTGAGACAGGGCCTCGCCCATTCAGTGCTGGAAGGACCGTGATTGACATCTTGACCTCCACTGTGATGGCTTTCTGCTTTCAGGCCATCATTGTACGGCCTCCTGCTCATTCCCACTGGAAAGCATGCAGAGGAGTCAGCATTTATCTCGAGATTTGAGCTTGGACCGCCAAAGAATTTCGTTCGACAAGTTTCTGGCCAAGGACGTGGTGGAGCTTACCAGGGCCATGAGGAGGAGTGTTCGAAGTCATCCTCAATATCGCCATTGCCCAGATGCACGATTTTTCATGACAATTGCGAGAGAAAGAATGACTCCTCACCTTCAGAGCCGTCATGACCACTGGGATTCGAATGTGACTAGCGCACTATCACGGCTCTTGACGTGTGTCCCGGTGTGAATGGAAATCATCCACCCAATGAACGATATACCGCAATGTGAGAGGTGCAGTGCTCGCTGACACCAGAAGGTCAGCGACAGGCTCTTTCATTTCTCAACCTCGCACGAGTGTGGGGTCTAGCTGCTTGTCGAGTCCCAACAGTTCCGCGACTGGTCAGGCTTCCTTTTCCGGGATCGAATCGTGAGGCACGGCCGCTCGTATCTCTCTGAACACGGAGTGAACTTGTGCCACATTTTCAGGCTCAATGTTCGTATGCCTTATGTCCCCCCTAAGATGCGATGCGACAGAGGCATCCTCGCATATAACGCAGCCCACTCAAAAGAGTAGTGCCATGGAAAATAGTTATAATCAACCAGCAAACTCCGTTGATGGCGAAGCTGTAATGAACCAATCTGGAGCCAGCGACTGCGAGGTGCAAGACCACGCTAATGCACCCAAAAGTCCGCTGTGTCTGAAGTTGCGAGACGGCTAGTACTTGGGTGGTTCTGTAGGTGACAATTGGCAGGACTGACTTTAAACCATCTCTACTCAGACTCTTGGTTGGTTGCTCGTGCGAAATCGTAACCCATTAACCACAAGAGCTGCAGTTTCTTGAGCTAGACAGGCGGAGACAACGTCCTTCGTCCGAGTCTAAGTCGTGTCCAAGAACCGAATTAGGAAGTCATTTATCTCTTCCATTTGTACCACTCTTGTAGTGATGCATTTGATCTCGAGAGGATTGGCTTCTCTTTGCCTAAAGGAGTAACGTTCGAGAATATTCATCAGTGGAGCTGGAGGATGGCAATTCCACAGAATACTTGAGACAAGTGTAGTTGTACGGTACTTGGTGCACGAGAACCCCATGAGGTCGGCGGGTATTTCCCATTGATGAGCCACGGAGGGAGTCCCTGAGTTGAGGCGCATGTATTGTGCATGCCCTTGGGGTTTTGTGGAAAAGCGCCCCCTGCCGATCTTAGTCTTCAAGCCTCATCCGTCATCATTATGTTTCATTTGATGAGGCGATGATCATAACCGTATAAGGCAGGCTTAAAAGAAGACCACAAGGTGTCGTGCATATTGACTGACGTCCACGCTGATGGCTTGTAAAAGGGTCTACTCAGGTAGAGCTCGACAGGAGGGGTGAAATCGCGCAGAGGACAACGGAATAGTGGAGTATTGACTGATGCAGAATTCTGGTCTGATGAGAGGGGAATAGTAGCTCGCGACAAGACCGGTGAAGGCTGGACCAAGTGTCGTAGCGCAATGATGCCCAACGGCTCGAAAC